CATCTTAAACAGTCATTATGATCGAGAAATACAATTTCTTTCTTCTCATCTTACTTTTCATGCTCATCAAGTCGTCTCACTATATATTTATGATACAATTCGTGATCGTTCATCTATTATTAGTTTACTATTTAATCGACATCATTTTATTAATCTTCAATCATGTAAATTTATCTCGATTAATTCATCAACTGAACTTGATAATGTTATTAAACAAGTTAAAAGTTTGAATAGACTTGTTACATTTGTTATCACCCAACCAATTTATCAAAATAACAATAAAAAATACATATGTGATATAACTCGAACTATATTGATGCACAAATCATCTTCTCTTCGTTCAGTTATGCTTCGTTATAATTATGATTACTTAGACATATCAACTTATACTTCAATTGCTTCGAATCTTATATCACTTGATTTGTTAATGTCTGGCACACTGAATATAGTTTCATTATATTCAATTTTGCCAATTCTTCGTGTTTGTCATAGAATACGGTATCTACATGTCATAATAAACCATCAAATTATACCTGAATATGTTAATTTAAAGTAAATTGCAGTGAAAATATCCGACGAATATTCTGTATAAAATAAGATTGAAAATATAATTTTTTCTTTTAGTGTTTCAATTCGCCATCCATTTATTAATGAAAATAATCTTCCTATATCACCACAAGTGACAACCTTCGATTTATCAACATTTGGTATATGTGACTTTCGTTCAATCGCTTATATTTTACGTTGTATGCCTAATCTTATTCGGTTTAAATTTCTTCATGGAACACAAAGAGTACCCTTGCCAGTTGTTGATAATTTAGTCAATGGTTATGCATGGCAACAGATGTTAGAAACATATGTTCCATTTTTATCTAAATTTGATTTTTTTATCTCAATTTTGAAAAAGTATCGAAAATTAGATTTAGACATGGTCGTAAATTCATTTCAACATTTCGTTGAAAAGTATCCCAAATGGCAGATGATTATTGATCGATGGGTACTTGCTTCCAATATGTTTCGTAAGTTAAATTGCTTTAAATCGGAAAGAAAGAATATAAACACTAACCAACGTTTACTCAGAGTTATTTGGAGGAAATGAGAAATAGTGTATATCGTTGCAATTGATTATATTTTATTTTAATGACATTTATGCAGGTATTTCTGTACGTTAAGACTAACTTCGACGCTTCGCTATTTCGGCGGGCGTGACAGTCAAAATCTTTTTGAATTTTACTATTCCATAAATAGATAACTTTGAATGGTTCTCTATCGATCTGCAAGAAAATATATCTTTTGACAAAATTTGAATCTAAATAAACGGTTTTTCGAGACCCACTATCTCGGAAAACTCGACGTCAAATAGAAATGCAATCAGAAGATGAATTTCAGTCTATATGCTGTTTTTCTCTTATTACAGGCAATGTACAGAAATAAAAAAGTACTCAGAAGATGAAAACAACTTCATCAGGTTGAGGCTATAGTACGATTCCGAGCTCAAAAGAATTGCTTTTCTTTATGACAAAAGAGAAAAAAATATTCAAAATCTATCATAAAAATAATGGATCAACCAACTATCAGGTTGACTATGAAATTCCCGTGTTTCAGGTTTCACAGCCATCTATCTACCTTAAAATAGTTTACTATCACAAATATCGACTTTGATAGGACGAGGAAAGGAATATTATAAAATATCAAAAGCCATGCACAGACAATTAATTATTTGACAATGAAGAGACTCAAACTTTAGTCTATGAGAATCTGTTTATTGTGAAACCAAATGTTTTCACCATACAGTTTTTTTCTTGTAGGAGAGATTGTTATATTACGCACGTTTGCTTACCACAAATACAAAAGAAACGTACCTATAACGATTCCAACGATGAATTATGAGTCATTTGACACACGATCAACAAAAACAACAACAAATGATCATTATCTTTATTATTCAGACACACAATATTTACAATTGAATATGGGAAAGATGACACCAAGAATTACTTCTTTTCCTTTATTTCAACATATCAAATGTCTCGTCATATATATACCAATAATACTTTCATCATCGTCAAACAATTCATTGAATATTGGTAAGAAGAATACATATTTCTTTTAATTATTCTTCCCGCCATTTTTATTCATTATCTTTTTTCAGTGAACTCTGTTCAATCAAATGACAATGATGATTTACAGCAATGTGTTACCTATCTTTCACATGTTGTTCATTTACCCAATGTAAATCAAATTGGCTTTCAATCATATGCTGATACATCTAGATGGAAAGATA